TCTCTCTCCATTTCCTCTCCTACCTCCTATTCCTCCACTTCTTCCGTTCCCCTCACCTCTATCTCTCCTCCGCCTCCAACTCTCGCTTTCCTCCTCTCTCCTCCTCCTCTCCACTCCTGTCGTCTCCTCTCTCCGTCTCGCTCTCCACCTCTCCTTTCCTCCTTTCGCTCTCCTCTGACTCGCTCCTCTCTCTCTCCCGGTCATTGTCTCTGCTTCCTCTTCCTCCCTCTCCCCCCTCTCCTGTCTCCGCTTCTCTCACCTCTCCTTTACTCGTCTCCTCTCTTACTCTCTCTTCCCTATCGATTCCTCCTCTGCCTTTCTTTCTCCTTTTTATCTCTGTATCCGCTTTCACCTTTGGCTTTTCTTCTGCTTCCTACTTCCTCGTGACCTGCCACCTGCACTGCCTGTCCCCTCTCCGACTCCTTCTCCACTCCTGAACACCTTCCTCTTCCACCTCACCTTCTTCCTGGTCGACCTCTCGATTGCTCAATCTCGTCGTCCAGCCCGGCTCTCCTGTCTCTCTTCCTCCTCTCCTTCGATATCGCTCCTTGATTTTCCTACCTCCTTCTCTAGTCCCCTCCCTTCCTCCTCTCTCTCTTTCCATTTCTGTCGCCTCCTCTCTCCTTCTCACTCTCCGCTGCGCATTTCCTCCTTTCCTGATTCGCCTTTTCTTTCTCCTATTCTCTCACTCTCCTCTCTCTCTTCTTCTCCTTCCTCTCCTCTTCCTCTCCTGCTCCTTATCCTTCTCTCTCTCTCCCTCTCTCTCTCTCTCTCTCTCTCTCTCTTCCTCTTCTTCCGCTCTCTCCGCTCCTCCGTCTCCCCCCTGTCCGTTCCCCCTGCTTCTTCCGCATCTCACCTCTCGTTCTCACAACTGTCTCCACTCCCGCCTCTCTCACCTCTCCTTCGCTCGTCTCCTCTCCTCCTCTCTCCCTACTATCGTCTCCTCCCTCACCTTTCCTTCTCCTTTTCACCTCTGCCTCCGTTTTCACCTCTGCCTTTTCTTCCGCTATCACTTTCACGTGCCTTGTCACCTGCACTGCCTGTCACCTCTCCTACTCCTTCTGCACTCCTGAACACATTCTCCTTCCACCTCCTCTTCCTCCTGGTCGACTTCTCGATTACTCGAATCTCGTCGTCCAGCCCGAGTCTCCTCTTTGCACGCTCCTTTCGCCTGTCATCTTTCGTTCTCTCCGCTCGTTTCACTTTCTCTTGCCTTCCATCGCCCTGCTTCCGTTTCCTCTCTCCTCCCTTTCGATCTCTCGATTTCACCAACCAATCGCCTTCTCTCCCGTCCATCGATCTCTCGCACTCGGCCTCATCACTCCCCACCACCACTTCCATCGATCTCTCGAACCTCCCGTCCAATCCTCTTCCTTCTCCGTATCGATTCTCGATCACCTCCGTTCTTCCCCACCACTTCCGTCCTCCTCGTTCCTGACTGCCGACTCATGCCAATTCATCTCACTTTCCACTTCAGTTACTCTCCTATCCTTCACTTTTTCTTCTCTCCTCCATTTCCACTGTCACTTCTCCGTCTCCTCTTTCCATCACCTCCTCCATCTCCCGATCACTCCTCTCCAGCCTTTCCTTTCACTACCTTTTTCACTCCGCCTTCTCACTGTACGTCTTTCCTCCTCGCCATCTTTATCCCTTCTCCTTCCTTTTTTATCTGTTTTATGCCTATTCTTTTTAACTATCCTTTGTTCTATTTTCATTAAATATTCATTCATTCATTCATTCATTTTTTGGAAATGTAAAACAATTATTTTCTTCAATATAATATTGATGAAAATAATTTTTTACATTTCCTCTTGACGGAAGAGACCACCACCTTCTCGCGGTTTCCGTTGAGCAACAATGCGTACGTAGTCCACTTATAGAGATGATATCCATAAAATATTTTATATCTCTTTCATTCTTCCTATGTTAATTTTTCTTACGTTAATAATCGTCATGTTTCTACATTATTTATTGTTACATATATTATTATGGAAGATTTTTTTAAAAAAAGACGTACACGTTGGCGGCGATCGCACGTTTTTCGGCGATCGCACGAGATTCGCCTATGTCGATAGGCGGCTTCGTTTTAAAATCCAAGAGTGGATTTTTAAAGATTTTTCATTTTTACTCTGTTTCTATCTTTTATTTGTTTACATATTCACATGTACAACTTTTAGTATCATTAATTCTTATATTTTTATTACAAATTATCAAGAGACATAACAGTGTGTCGTGCCTAATAGAAAAGGACACGCGAAAACTAATAGTCGAGCCGTAGAAATCTCACGGCTGACCGATTGACGACGCATCAGCTATAGCTCGAGATAGAAGGAGACGGAAGATGTTGTTTACTCTCTCCTGCTACCCGAATCTAGCCGAGCGTCGAGCGCACACGTATTTAGGACGTGTTGCTTGTGTGCGAGCGTGCGCGCGCAGGCGTGGCCAGACGGACTATCCCCACTCCTATCCCTACCGCCGCTGCAGCGTGCGTGCAAACGTTCTCGGCTGGCATCACTGGTGCGTAGTCGAACTGCTTTCTCGGATGACCGGATGGTGCGGAATATAAACGCATTGTTCGGGTGGTACGGAGAATTGAGACACTTCGCGCATGTGCCCGAGATTCTGGTATTCCTGGAGGAAGTCGGAATACTCTCTTTTGTATTCACGTTGGGTTTGAAGTCGCCGAGTTAACGTTGTTAAACGTTTTTCGGCGATCGCACGAGATTCGCCTATGTCGATAGGCGGCTTCGTTTTAAATGGAAGACGGACGGTGTACCGTCCATCCGACCGACGAGAGTGAGTCGAGCGAAAATGTTCACACGGTTCATCCTCTGGACTAAGAATAATTTGACGAGGGATTTCCTCAGTTTCCCAAAATTGTCGAAGTTCCTTGTCGAGGGACAAGGTAGTAGAACAATGGAATGAATTGATTTGAGCGCTTGCTCGATCGTCATCCGATTTGACGAACGATGCGTGAGATAAGATTTCGGAACACGATGTCGGCTCCGAAATTATCCAACCGAATACCGTATTCTGAGCAATCGGTCGTCCGACCGTCGATTTGTAAATTCCGTCCAGAATAACATCGCCATAGAGATCGGCACCGATGAGAAGATCAATGGGGTCCGCACTCATGTGGTCGCGATCCGCCCATGAAAGTGAACTAACGTGTCCGAGCACGGACTCTGCTGGGACTCGTTGTGGTGAATAGGCCGTCAATGAATTTAAAATTAACGCGGTAGTCGAGAATCCCGGAGCCGATGCACTCCGCGGAGATATTGTGATTTGAGCGGCGTGCCGACAGGTGCCCACCGTGACACCACCGACGGCAGAGATGGACGTCGGCATGCGCACTCTTTTTAGCCGCAGACTTTGCGCCAATCGTTCGGTGATAAATGTCATCTCCGACCCTTGGTCGAGTAGCGCTCGTACTTCGACCGACCGACCCGACGGCGCAGTAACAATAACTCAGACAGTCGCCAATATAACGGACGATCGGCGAGGCTGCTGGGCTGACACACTTATGAATTTACCGCGTCGGGAGGCAACTCGACGGGAGTCGGCGGCGTACTTGACGACTTCTGGTCGTCTTGTTTTAAGGAAGAGTTCGAATCATCGTGAAGTAACGAGTGATGCTTGCTTTGACATTGGCGACACGTGTATTTACTTGCGCACTTTTGAACCGCGTGACCTTTACTGAGGCAGTTAAAACAACGACCGTCTTGCTTGACGAACTCGCGACGTTGACTCGAACTCTTCTTTGCGAATATCGGACATGCGTTAAGAAAGTGATTGGCTTTGCATAAAGAACATTTCAATTGCGCCTTCGCAGTGGCGTTAGCGCTGCTGATTTTTTGAGTGTGAGGTGCCTTGGTTGCATATTAAGAAGATGTCGTTTACATTCGAAGCGGGACTTCAAGGTATCCCACGCAACCGTAAAATTGTCTGCTGTGACGGAGAGATGTTGAATGCACTCGCGAGCTCGATCTTTTACACTGGCAGTGAGAAAATGCATCCGCGCGAAGTCTGATAGCTCCGTATTGTCTATAATTAACGATTTAAACCGATCGCGGAAGCTCTCCCACTCATCATACTTGCCGTCAAAAGGCGGCAAAGTTATTGGCGGTAGATGCGATAAAGAAAAGGCGGACGACGTCCTTTGAATTGACATATCCATTTGAACCGATTAATTTGGATTGACATACGGTTCAACCTCCTCCAGACACTCAACCATGTAGTCTGAAGTGGTTTGAAACGTGTCTTCAGCGATATCATATAAATTGTCTTTGAAATACTCAACCGACTGCTGACTGGAGATCGAAACGGTGCTTCGCAGAGCTGCATGACCCTGTTGGATTTGCATCCACAGCTCCTTCAGACCGCTGATTCGACTCCTGATTTTTGGAGCGGGGAGGTTATTGCGCCCGATCTTCTTAAAATTGTCGAGAGAACGCTCGAGCGATCGAAGCAGCTGCTTCTGATTCTCGAGTAGTTCGGTCATGTTGCTTATGACAAATGTCTTTCGCGCGAGGCCCGAACGCACTATCACTTCGATCCGGCTCGAAGGACCAAAATATATTTCGGATGCGCTGAGGATCGCCTCAGGCTGAAACGAATAACCGGGACCGCCTCGAAAGAAGCGCGAAATGATGGTCGAGACGAGCGAGGGAGCGCGAAACTAGCAAACGTCCGTGTCCCGTAGCAACAAATATGTAAGAACTCGATATACCGTTCTCAAAGTCACTCCGTTCAAAACACACCGCTCGTTGGTCGAGACAAAGGAAGATTCGGACTTGTAATGTTTGTCCGGGAGATGAGCCAACGACTTTAGCTCGAAAGAGATCTGGGATGAACCGACTAATGGACAAATGGTTCAACAAAGGGAAGTTTGCTCAGAAATTAAAGACGGCTCTAAGAGATTAATCGTTGAGCTTGGTCGAAACTTATCATCCTAGCGAACCTACTTTTGATTTATTAAAGAAAGGAAAAAACATTAGTAACAAAGAATATAAATGAGAAATAACACAAGGAATAAGAACGTGAATTGAATAAACTGGCGGCGGACAGTTAACTGACGGAGAAGACAGACGAGCACTATTAGAGTGAGCTCTGTAACTCGCGAACTAAGAATCCGAGATACTCGCGAGATATAGCACAAATTTGGTAGTTCAACGCGGAACGAACGCTAAATCGCGGTGATAACTCGGAACGTGACTGATCAACTCGAATCTCGAAACGACAATGTCCGCTAACGATTATCCGTGCGCCGATCGAGATGTACCTCTTTGTTCTTGGAAAACAAGAGAGGGCATGTGACGCGGAGCAATGTGATTCGCCGCGGCCGAAATACGAGGTTGACGACCTGTTGGTCTGGTACCGCGCGCGCCGAGCGCTTTACCGTAGCGAGCACCGATCAGCTGATCGGCACGTGCTATACCCGTTCCGAGACTCGCGTTCGCGACCCGATCCGCTAGCCCGATCTCGAACCGGTGGGTAGGGTATATTTTAATGTGGTGAAGCCCCCCCCCCCCCGTAGAGGGGGCGGAACATATTGTCTCCATATAAGTCACTCCCCCCCCACCAAGGTGGAAAAATGTATGCGTGGAGACAGTATGTTCCGCCCCCCTTCGGGGGGGGCTCCACCTCGTTCAAATATAACCCTACCCACACTATGTTCGAGATGTGGAATGGACCTCGCTTCACGTGGAAAGTCACAAACCCATGTGGAACAGTACAACGGCGGAAGTACATGCGTGGAGACAGTGTGTTTCGCCCCCCCCCCTTCAGGGGGGCCTAGTTTGTTAAGATATAATTATCTTAACCCCTACCCAAACCATGTCTGAAGTGTGGAGTGGATCTCGTTTCACGTGGAAAGTTGCATACCCATGTGGAATCATATATGTACTGCAAAGTACATGCTTAGATGGAAGGACAGATATATTTTTATTTTTAATATTTAGTGAAATAACTACGAAATTGCTTCCGGATAACCCCAATGTATTATCTGCTATACCCGAATATAACCCGTTTCTAACACGTGTGTGAGAAGAATCAACATTACTTATGTTTCTAACTTATCATTCAGACAGCCACCGTTTCGAATGTCGCGCATTTGTACGTCATTATGCATGCTCGGTTATTATATGTACACATTTAAAATTGGTGCGCTTTTTGCACATGACCACATCAACTCTACGACCAATCACAGGGTCATGTTGATAGAACCGTTTCAATAATTCCATCGAAGTGGTTCTGTGATGGCGATACGCAGGTTACGTTTATGCAAATTACGCTTCATGTGGCGCCACCCTTAAAAGAGTGACTAACATTAGAAAGACGATGAAACAAATGAAGCGCATCACATTTGTTTGTAAAGTCGCATACATGTGCAACAATGTTAAGTTTTGGCTTTCAGGCTTTCGCGGCTGTTATCTTCTTTAGTCATGGCTTCCGGATGGTTGCCGCGTCCGTTTGCAGTGTGGTGCCGACGTTTCGCAGGCGTTGCAGTCTGCATCATCAGGGCTGGGAGACTCTGATACTGAGCTCCCTCGCGTTGCGCTCGTCCTTTTATACTCCTTTTTGGGGGGAAGGGGGGTAGTCAGAT